TTTCTAGTCAAGACAAGTTATCTGTGCCTAATCAAGTCAAACATGCCAAGTCAGGTGTCCTGTGTTGAGTCACGTCAGGCTAAAAGCCCTTTTCCAGCAGCAATACTCGGTACAGCATGGGCTGGCACAGCTCACTTCAGTGTTTTCCCTTCCTTGCATGCACTCGTCATAGCACAAGAGGGCTGCAGACCTGCAGCACTTGTAATTTGTACTTGAGACAAAAATAGCAGGACAAGATGAGCCAAGACAGCCTTATTTCTATATCACAGCTCCATGTGCTTTACAGAAGGTGGTCAGTGTGAGCTGATCTGTGTGCTACACCGAAACACAACACGACGGTGCTTATTCTGCTGTCTGCAGGAACCAGAAAGCTCTGGAGCAGTGAGATGACAGCTGCCCCTCGCCAATCAGCTACTGACGTCACGTTGTCAGACCAGGTCGGCACGCTTGGAACGAAGCAGGTTCTGAAAAGCTGGACTGTGTTTATGTTTATTTATTTAGCAGACGCTTTTATCCAAAGCGACTTACAATTTATAACCTATAGGGCATGTTGTGATCTGTGGGGGAAACCGGAGTACCCGGAGGAAACCCACGCATGCATGGGGAGAACACGCAACTCCACGCAGAAAGGCCGCAGCCGAGCAGAGTTTCGAACCTGCAACCTTAGTGCTGCGAGGCAACAGTGCTAACCACTGCGCCACCATGCAGCCACTGTGCTAATGTAAACGCTGTCAAATCTAACCACACCCATCGGAGTCACTCGAGCAGGACTATGTAGCCCGAGCTAAAGTCAAGTCCCACCACGCTGATCCATCCTGATTTGATCTATTTGGTGTTTTGGCTGAATTCTTGGTTCAAACATGACACTCTTCTCAGTAAATGAGTTCTTTCTGAAAAATACCAGCAGACCTTCCTACTGGTGCTTGAATGGATCAGATCTTATTGGTGCAAAGATGCGGTAAACTGATGCATCTGGTGATTAGTTAAGGCAGGGGTGTCAAACTCAAACTCACAAGGGGCAGAAATGAAACTCTGGGACGAAGTCGCGGGCCAAACTTAATATTTTTTAAAAAGTGACGGCAAATTTGCACATTTTCTTTATTAACATATATGCGATTTTGAACCTTTAAATTTGGAAACAAACATATTTCTGCATTAACACTGAATGTGGAATAACCAAATTACACACGAGCAAGTCAGTTTTAAATAAAAGGCATCAGTGGTATTCATTACTTGTGGTATAATCAGCATTTTTAAAATCTATTCAGGATTTATGTTTTCTTGTTGTTTATTCATTTTTCTTATTTTTTATTCTACTTTTTTCTCCTGTAATAAGTGTCATCGCTGCTGTGACGTCTAGCTTTCCCCACTGAGTAACAATAAAGGGATTTTCTATTCTATTCATCTATCTGCAGCCTTTCCACTTCCTGTTTACTGTAGGTTAAATCTTTTCTCACGGACCAACAACAAAATAAAAATATCATTTTATCTTAAATGAAAATGCAACATCTCACCTGTTAACTTCCATGTTTTGGAGCAGAAAAAGAGCATAAAACCAACATATTTAAAGCTCAGTTTGCTCCACTGGTTTACTGTGATGCTCACCTGTTCCAGCCAGATACCTGCATCATGGGGTTGATCTGAGCTGAGGAGGAGACTCCTGTTGTTTTGTTCATCTTCATCATAATAATGACAACATTAGATGACAACAGGTGCTCACATAGGTTTGTGCTGATGAACATGTCTGAGTGGCTTGACCACGTTGTTGTGTGTCGGGAGGAAAAATAAAAACTACAGCAGCCACAGAGTCATGCTGATTTGAGCGTGTCGCTGCTCGCTGGAGTTATATCAGCTCTGTCTGGAAGTCAGTTGGAAAATGTTCTCTTTCAATCGTGAACGCATTAATGAGCGGTTAAAATCTCAGTTTCTGGGCTTTTACATCGGCAAATAGCTGAGTAAAGTCGGCGCTGAGTGAGAGGAGTGTTTAGTTTGTCCGAGACACCAGAGCAGCAGATGCTGGAAAAAACACAAAGGAGGGGGCGCTTCGGCTCTGTGTTAACGCCGCTAAGCATCATGGGAGTTGTAGTATTTGCGGTAAAATCGACCAGCGGGTCAGTTTTAACATGCTTTTGATATTTTTCTCGCGGGCCACATAAAAATGCTCCGTGGCCTGACACATGTGAGTTAAGGTGATAATGGGGTTCAAGGTGGGTGAGTGCATGAATGTTAAGTGACAGATTTGAGGTTGACCGGAGCGTTTCCTCGTCATGTTTCTCTTGCCGGCTAACGCTGGACATGGGTGTAGAAGCCTGCGTGTGAAACTCAGAGTGACCGATGATATAAAAAAATGACAAGTATCAAAATAAAATACTTTCTAATATTTTGGGGCCTGAATTAAAAAAAAAAGCTAAATGGTGACTTAAGAGCAAACTGCTGAGGAGGCCCTCTGCGGCTCTCCACGACACCTCTCCACACATCTGTCCACAGTGCGCCTGACTTATACAAGCCTAATGAAGCGAAAACAAGAAGAATTTAGAGGAAGTCTCAGCATGCTCAAAATTAAACAAACCTAGAAGTCACACGCCTGTAGGAAGCAGCTGTAGAAATGTGGGTCATTTCTGGGTCGCTGGAGCAATCTCAATAAGCTTTTTCCACTTTTTCCACTTGGGTTGCTTCACTCTGTCTGCTGCGTGACCCTCAGCGGAGCCCTCTCCGTCTCTCTGGCAGGAGAAATCATGCCAACCTGAAAAACTGCCCAGCTGGAGCGCTGGCAAAGCTTCCTGTCTGAACTTTCTACGGTCAGATTTGGTTGTAATTTCACTGCACAAGACGGCAAAACGACCCGAACTTCACTGCATTCACTTGAGCTCCAATATTAAACTTTTTTTTCCATGAACAGAAACAGCAAGGAGCACCACTCCAACTGAATAAACACCAGCAGATGTTTGCTCAAGAATGTAAACATCACTGAAATTAGTCAGATTTAGATAATAAAATAAACAATAACAACGTTAACCCTCTTTACTGGAAATGCGTCCATTTCTAGAAGATCCATTAGAAGCAGGCCGGCTCTGTTTGGCACACACCCCGTCTCCAAAACCTCACATACCCCCCGGTGCCGGCGCTTGCTGTTGTTATTGGCAGCGAGACGTTAAAGTGAGGTGCCTGAGTGACAGCAGATAATATCTGAAAGGCGCTGAATCCATTATGGTGGTCGGTGTTCCAGGAATGGGCGAGGACCAGAGAGGTTCATCTGGAGGTTTGGAGATTTTAACGCAGGAAGGAGCTGAACACAGATGTATCCATATGGATCTTATTTGTATCTTATTGAGTTATAATATGGAAAAAAATGAAACTTCTCTTTGCATATCTGATTTACTAAGGTCTGAAGCTTTGTGCATGTGCTTAAAAGCTGTACTTGTTCTAGTTGCATTTATGCAAAACAAAGCAGCAGCAGAGAAAACATTTCTTTATATTTGTATTTAAACTCATGGAGCCTCGTGCAATTTTACAAGACTACAGCTCAGCATTAGCCAATAGCGTTTGGCAGAGCGTGCACGTTTGTGGAAGTCCGACACTGAGCTGCGTTTTTCAACTGATGCTGGGTTGACAACATTTCGTACGAACAAGGATATCTATGGATAAACAGCAAAACGTGGGAAGAATAACTAACTGTAGAGCTTCCTGTCTATGAATGAGAGACATTGCTTCATAATCACAGCAGCAGGGAGAGGGGATTAAAGGTGCATTGCATTTTTCCACCTGTAGGTGGCGATCTCTAGGATTAAACTCCAGATTTCTCATTTGAACGACTGTAATGAAGTCGTCCATCTCATGAAAGTGTTTTTGCACCAGCAGCTACAAGAAAAACAAAACAAAGCTGAACTTCTCTTACTTCCCTGTCGTGAGAGAGCAGAGCCATGATGCAAACAAAAACACTGCAGATTATAATCTGTAGATTAAATCTTCTCTTTGGCTCTGAGGTTGTGGGAAAAAAAACTAAACTGGCTGGGAAACCATAGAGCAGAAAGTTCAGATGTCTATTTTTACATCTATTTATTGACACAACCATTCTTCCATAAGGTGATGACGCGCGGCCATTTTAGAAGCTGGAGTCAGATTTATCCCAGCGCTGTGACATCATCTCACCAGCTGCTGGAGGAGCCGTGAGCGTTAATGCTGCTGCTGAACATGCGTGTTCCTGTGAAATGTGCCAGCTGCAGTCACAATAATCATTAATGTCCTGCCACAACGTTTTGTCATGACGAGCATCATCCACACAGCTGGCCGAGACAACTGCCAATCAAATTTACTGGCCAATTACGCTCCTAATGCGGCGTGCACAACATAACCAGTTACTCTCACCCAGCCAGATGTAACCTGGAGGTAAAGCCAGATGTGGAGGCCAGAAGTCTGAGGAGTTGAATTACATCTCAGGTTGGAGTGTAAGTGGAGATTTATGGAAACTGGTTGGATTTTTAATAACAGCCGTTAAAAGGCGACGAGCTTTTAACGGCGGCCCGAATGGAGAACCTTCAGGGTGACGATGGAGATGGTTCGGAGATCTTAACGCACGTTTATCCGGCCGAGGAAGGCGCTGCAGCCGCCTCCAAACAAGGGAAGGTGTTTGAAATTCAGAGCGCATCCGAGGGAGTCTGCAGCCAGAAGGTCAGACGGACAACCTCATCCCAAAATAATAACACTATTCCGTGTGTTTCCATGTTCGCTGACGGGAGTAGCTTATCCTGTGGCAGAGCCTCGGCTCAACGCTCAACCATTAAGTTGTGATTTGTTAAAAGCTACTTCAGTAGGAGATTTAAATCAGTTTTACTGTCTAACACTTCATGCATGAGCAGAGCCTTGCACGTTGAGCCATTAATGCATGCATAATCTAATGTTTTCATCCCAGACGGGTGATAAAACATTTAGAGTTTCTTTCCCCCAAAATAAATAAAAGGAGCATCTTTACAGGCGGATGTGGTGTTTAGGAGGAGTCTTACCGAGTCTCTGGGGCTTTGCTTCTGGGATTCAGCCATCTAAAGGATGGAGGGGACAGAAGAACCAAAACCAGTGAGGCAACAGGTATTAACAGACAGAAACTGGGAAAATTTGCTCACAAGCAGCAGCAGATGGAGACGAGGAAAATATGAAGTGGTGGGATGAAAGAACAGGTGTGCAGGAAGTAAAAGGAGAAGCATTTCGGACATTTGGGCCTCCTCAGAAGAGGTTCTGGTCTAAAACATTAACTCCAGACAGCTCTCACTGATCAGCATCATCTCGTGAGTCCAAAATGTTTCAGAAAACCACTAGCACACTGAATCTCAGCTCTTTCACAAACAAAACAAAAATTGATTTGTTTGATCTAAATTCCAAAAGATGGAATACAGAGACGCGTTCCTGGCAGCCGAGGATTCCGCCCACATCCTGGTTTCTCTGCTCAGAGTCAGCTGTTTGAAAGGACGGCATTGTTTAGTTTAACGGCAGAACGGAGCGGCTGCATCCCAGATTCTGTTATGTCATTTTGATGAATAAATGGAATTTGGACTCGGATTTGGGAATTTTTTCATTATGGGCTTGTTTCTTAAACGTTGAACAGCTGAGAATCAGGATTATTGTGTGTTTAGTTCCATTTCAGGGTGAAAAAAGAAAAATGTACACATTCAAATACAAACCTATTACATTATGTCTTTATTAGTGGTAATAGTCGTGGACTGCTGTAGGACTTAAACAAGGATGTCAGCTTATTAAACAAACTAGAACATCTATACATAACGCTATTTACTCATTATAATAATAATTTGTATTAAAAACTCTAGATCTACTTGTAGTGTTTTTAGAGAGGCAGCTAAAAACTGCTGGCAGGTTATCTGTGTGTCTGAAGAAAAATCTCCCATGTGCTTTGTTTTTGATGGCGAAAATCAGAAATCGATATTGGTTCTTGAAGCAGAATCGGTGCACACCTTGCCATTAGGAAAGCTGTTTGTTAAACCTGCGGCTCTAACAGCAGCAGCTGCTGGATTCATGTTTTCATTACTCTGTATTTGATCTCATTCACTTAGCTGATTAGCTGCCATTTGTGATTCAAACAAAAACAAGAGCTAGGGAGTTATTTAGCTTCAGGCAGCTTTGAAACCTCGGGTCCAGCTGCAAAGACCTCCAGATGCTCGTTTAAAGAGCTGGGGCCTCATTCATCAAGCTTGCTTACGCACAAAACGGGGTTGGAAAACTGCGTAAGCAACTTTCCATGCAAACTTTGTGATTTATGAAAGAAAACTTAGCGGAAAAATGTGCGCAACTTTAAGTTGACTAAGGACCTGGCTTACGCACATTTTGGACATGGAGAGCAGATGCAGTGCTGCTGCTGAGAAGGATAAAATTATGAAATCCTGCAGCATTATCACTTGTACTGCTTCGTTTTCACACAGAACAAGACCCCCATGCGCGCACACACACACACACACACGCACGCGCGCAAGGGTGCACACACACACACACACACACAGCCTGAAGCGCAGAATACGGAATGCAGAACATCAGCAGGGGGACAGATTGAGACAGAATGTCATGCGTCTGTGACAGTGTGTGTCCTGTCACTGTGACCCGATTGATCATACGCCCTGGCTATTTGGACAAGGGAGATCTCCGTTTGGCTGACTGGTTAGCGTGCGTGACTTTCACCCGGGAGTCTGGGGATCGAATCCCGATTGGACCATCTTTTTAATATCCGCCACAGATCTCTCTGAAGAATTCACAGCATTGACGGCTTCAGCAACGCTGTGCCACTCTGTGGATTTTCTCTTATTTGTTTTGCAAAAGCACTTCCTTTCATTTCTCCACCTCACCCACAAGTACCTCAACTTCTGCTTCTGTGAAATTGCGCTTCCTTGATCTACGGTCGCCATGTCATTGGCGGAGCGCTGCAACAGCCGGCTTATGTATATGCATGAGAACCACAAGACACTTTGCATCGACTATTTATGGCAGTAAGTGGGCGTGGTGAGGGCGGGATGTGACTAAAAGCAGCTGAGAAACTTTCTCGTTAGTCTCAGATTCATGAAGCGGAGATTGCGTGCAGCTGTGCGTACTCCATGTTTGATAGATCACAAACCTACTTGGCGTAAGTACATTTCTTTGCTGAGCTTAAGTACAGTTTTAGTAAGGATTCTACGCAATGTTTGATAAATGAGACCCCTGGACCTCGTCTCCCTGGACTCGCCTTCTCCTCCATCCTCCAAGCTTCTAACAACAAACTGGCTGAACTGAAAGCCCTGCTGAAGACGAGTATTGATCACCCCCTCCCCAGCGACAGCTCATCTCATCTGCATCCATTTCTACGCTTAGTCGTCTCCGGTCAGACACCTGATTGGCACAACTTTCTCCTGAACCTCTCCGTGGGCCGTTAACAGCTTCGACGGCCTCCGGCGGTGAACAAAGAGACCTGTTTCCTGACCACAGAGGAGGGATTTACGGTGCTGCAGCTCAATGTTCCAGCAGGAGATCGTACAGAATCAATGAGCAAACAGCTCCCACCTCTTCACATCTCAATGAGGTTCCTGACCCGGCTTCGGGGGATTATTTTATCCAGAGATAATAAAACAAACTCATTCAGAGTCACAACTCGAGAGAAGCCTCTGTTCAAACTCTTTTAATCAGAAACGCTCCTGATAGAAGCTCAGAAAGATTTATGTGTCTAATCTGAAGCACGAGGGCGAGCAGAGCGAGTTCTTCACTCGTTGCCTTCTGCCTGCCTCGCGTCTTTCTACTCGTCCCGACATCCATCAATCTCCGAGTCGGCTCAGACGTAAAACAGGAAGACAAGAGGAGAAACGGCAGCGTTTGTCAGCAGGAGGAGGGAAAGTGAGAGGAGAGCAAAAGCAAAGACGGAGTTTTGTTTTAGGCTTCGATGATAAAGAGGATCAGAGTGGATGTGCATGCTCGGACGGGGTAAACTCAGAGAGGAGGCGTCACAAAATTCTCTGAAGTTAAGAAGAAGAGAGTGAGGTGGAAATTAAACTTACCGCTTCTCGAGGAAGCAGAGCTTCCTCCTGGCGTAGAACCAGCAGCCCGACGCCACCGTCCATCGGAGTGTTCCTGAGCAAAGCCACCACCTCTTCCTGGGTCCGTCCGTTCAGATCCACTCCGTTTACCTGAACAGGACACGCCCAGGTCAACATTCCAACTACTCATGTAAATTAACTTTAATATAAGTAAACGCTTGCGTTTTTCCCCCTTTTCCCACAAAGCCAGGAATCATCTGACAGGAATGTCGACAACTTGATGACACATTGTAGTTTTATTTACTTCTCGTTTGAGTCTCAATTTAGTCTCGAAACACTCTCTAAACTTTCTGACTCGCAGAAACTAAACTGAAACTGGTAGGAGACGCCAACAACTCAGAGTCTGGCTCCAGAGGATAATTATCCTGAGAATTTTTCTGAGTGGTCACAAAAATTTCCAGCCCAGTGCGACACTAATGACATCATAATAAAACATGGAGCAGAAAAACAACACAATTGGCCTTTTCACTTAGTTTTAATCAGTCACACCAGAACGAAGCTGAAATAAACAGGAAAGAAGGAAAAACTTAATGCAGAAACACTAAAATATCAAACGCGTTCCAGTAGACAGGATTATGAGCATAAATGCATCCGAATGTGACCTGCATAATGTTGGCTCTTTTATTTTTCTTATGCAAGTGTCCCAAAAACAAACAAACGTGAAGATTTCCCTTTTTAAACCAAAGCTGCAGGAGGTTCGTTCCTAAAGCCATGAACTCAGATTAATCCTTCATTCAAACGGTTTCCAGTTCGGGTGACGCTACTTCAAAAGCGGCTCCGTTGTTGCAGAACGAGAGTTCGGAAGCGTGCTCTCTGATTCCAGGACAGGATGCACGATTTCCATATCAAACCAGTCAACTTGGATTAATTGGTTCCACTTGATGTTAAACAGATGGCAGGCGTGTTTGACAGATAAGTGCTAGCAGCAGCGAGGAACTCAGGCTGCATGCTAAGATTCTGTTACTAAACTACAGGTGGTCCAGATTATACAGATTAACCAGTGGGATTTTGTGTTTTTTTTTTTTAAATCCAGCTCAACAAGCGTCTCACCTCCAACAACCTGTCTCCTGCCTTCAGGCGGCCGTCTTGGATGGCAGCTCCCCGAGGCAGAATGTTCTTCACGTAGATGGGCGCCGAGCCCCCGATGGGAACGTCCCGCGATGTGATGCTGAAGCCGAGCCCCTCAGGGCCTGTTGGGGGTGGGGGGGTGGGGTGGGGGGACACGACAGATGGATTAATGGTGGGATATGGTTTCATCTGGAGGCAAAAGCAGTTTCATCCTCGTAGCTCAGCTACATCCTGGACCTGATGTAAGACCGGAGCAACAGTTCCTGTGTCTGTAGGGAATAAATCAGGAATGTTGGATTAGGAGTGAATAATTCTGTGATGAACCAGGATCAGCTCAACAACTCTGATACTTTTGAGATCTTTTAGCTGTAAACGTTTTCTGCACGATGTTGAAAACTGGTTCTGCAGTACACTTCAGGCTTTCTCAATATTTTTTTAAATAAAGTTGAGTTAAAACTGGAGTGAGATTAAATCCTGATTTGAAAATCAACTCAAACCAGATTCTGGAATCAGACGACGTATAAGAGCGGTGCAGCTTTGGCTTTAACGCCTAATGCTCACAGAAAGAACATAATTAATAAAAAGATTGTTATTAACCAGATTTGTTTGATTTTTGTCTTTTTCTGCTCAGTGCTGCCACCAGCTGATACAAACCGGTAACACTGTCTCCTGAAAACGTGACCTTTGTGAGGTTTCAAAATAAAACCTGGTGAAATAGGCTAAGTTCTGGCTATGCCTTGATGCTCTTATTTTGACAAGCAACACTCCAGCATGGTCGTACTGTAATTGTAGTTTTTTCCATGACTGAGGAGCTCTATGCCGGCGTTTACTCGAAGAAGCGAACGGATTTGGATTCCTTTCAAGATTAAACGAAGGGATTCATCCGAGGCAGGAAGTTGTACTGACCAGCTACAATGACCTAAAATCCTGGGAATAGCAGAAAAAACTTTGTTCATCTGATAAGTGTTTGATTAAGATGAAATGTTTAACCTTATTTGTTATTGAACCATGAACTAAACTAAACTCAGGAAAAAAATCCTAAAAACATGAGAAAGAATGAATAATTTCATATTTTTATATTGCAAATCTTCATTTTTATATTACTTCTATATTATTAGTGACGTACATCATATTTTAACCCTGACTGCAAAAATGTAATAAAAAAAATTAAAAACTTAAACCAGGTGCGTTTTAACATGACTCCCAGCAGCCGCTGCACAACCCGCAGCCAACTTCCTCTCACTTCCAGCTTCCCTAAAACCCTCCTCACCGATGCTGCCACCACTTCCTTAAACGCGCCTTCGTCAGAACGAGTCATTCCGACAGAGTTTTTATCGTGCAATCCTGCACCCTGTCGCCATTAAGGAGCAGCACAACGAAAGACAACAGCAAGCTTTAGAAGAAGATGCAATCATTTCATGCAGTTACATGTTTCCAGAGAGGAAGTTCAGCCGGAAGACTTTTTAGTACATTTGTGTGAAACTTAATTAAAGCTTGAACGTGAGGAACAGCCAGCTTTAATAAAGGACTGCACTTCCAGGGGCGATGCATGCTGAGGTCTCCCTCCTTCATTAAATCATCGCAGTAATTTGCAGATCTTCAACACTTAAGCAGCAGTAAAAACGGGTCCGGTCCTAGAGAATTTGGGTCGAGCTAAACTCTGCAGGTAAGGGAGTTCTTTTAGGAGCATCCTAGTTGAATCGGAGCGGCGGCCTTAATCCATCCTGCCTGTCTGCCTCAGCTGATGCAAAGAACAGTAAAACACGTCTGTTTTACATCCTCAGACTAATCCTGCACGTTGATGAAGCAATCAGCTTCCCGCAGGCGGTGGAGGGGCGTTTTTCCTCTCGCTGGTAAACCTGCAGCCAGTTGCAGACTCAAAACAAAGAGGAGGATCTTTGAAACTCCCATTAGCATGATTAACATGCACCACAACCAATTTCCTGTGTGGAAAATCAGACGTTTGATTGATTTGGATTCTCCGCGGGATTTAGGAGGAGACCGGTGTCTGATTCCTGCATAGCAACGAGGCGGGAGTTTAATCTGCGCTGAAAGCGGCGGGTTAAAGTTGGTACTCGGAACAAAACAGAGGAGCCGAAATGACGCTCGGGAATCTCGGTTAATCCCTGCAAGTGTTTGCTCTGAAAACAGCAGACAAAAAGGTGGACTGGGAGCAGACTGCGTCGTTAACAGATCAGCGTGCAGGAAGTAGCGTTCCAGAGCCAAGGAAAGCTGTGACTGAGGATGCGACGAGCAGCTGGGGGTTCTGGACTGGTCCCAGTCCCACAGGAGAGTTCAGATCTGGGTTAATATTTCACCGGGGCACGCGGTGGGAGCAGCCCAGTCCGACTCCGCTCTGCTGCATCTGACAGCGACCGGCGGCTGCTTAGCAACAAGCTTTTTGGCCCCGACACATGAAATCCTGTTGGCTGAGGTCTCAACCACCTGTGCCAGCTGTCAGTCACAGCCGACACCGAAAAGATGTCCCAAAATGAAAAACTCACACCGACTGCAGCTGAATTCTCCAGCCTCTGCTGGTTCCGGTCACCTGCTGCTCACTTTCACTTTAAACGTGAACCTTTTCCACACGCGTGTTTGATGCTGGTTAAAGCTTCTCCCTCACAGCGGAGCGTGAAGAGAGACATAAAACAAACCGATTCAACTCAGCAGGAGCCGATTTCACCCAGAATAACCCGGCACAACCTAAATTACAGACTTCATGGAGCTTAATGATGCTTCCAGAGGGTTTGGTGGATGAATCAGAAACTGAAAAATAAGAAGATGAATAGTTTCTTGTCTCTGTTGGACTTTTTGACCCAGTGAACAGAGAAATTGGCGTTTTTTGTGACACGACATTTCAGACTCACCTTTCTTCAGCTGGATGTTGAGCCGTCGCCCCACCTTCTTGGTGAAGCCGACAGTTGGGGTGGAGTTCAGCGCCCTCTGAGGCGAGTGACCCGTCGGAGGCTTGGCCGCCGACACGGAGGGGAGGGTCAGGTGGGAGTAGCCGTCGGTTCGGTCCGAGTGGGAATGCGGGTGCGTTTGGGAGCCATGGCGGGACATCCTCTGGGGGTTGTGTTCCACACCGCTCACCGACTCGAGGCTGAAGCGGCCCGAGGAGAAGGACGGGTTCCTCTCCACGTGGGACAGATGTTCGTAGTGGGCCTTCATGGAGGACGGGACCACGTGGAACATGATGACGGGAGAGCGCATGGCCTGGCGGAACATATTCTGAGCTCTGCAGAAAGAAACAAGACAGAAGAAGAGGGTGGATGAAGTTTTGGGACTGATTACAGCCTCACGTACTCATCAAACCCTAATCACACAGAGCACATTCATAATTATCCATGCACGGTTCCAGAGTGGATCACTCCACCTACCAGATGTCCGTCTTCGCCCACCTGAAGGATCCGACATGCTAATTAACACTTAGCGCTGATGCAAGAAGCTCTAAAAGGAAAGCTCCGCGACAGCTCCATCACACAATCTGGCTGCAGATGAAGGAGGAGACCTTCATCATCATCATCATCATCCCCCCCCCCATACAGTAGGTGTGAGAGGGAACTTCTGCTGACTGTCAGCAGGCTGTAAAACCTCGTTAGCACCACCTGCTTCACTAAAACGCCCTCCTTTCATTGTGCAACCCCATCAGCAGCTGAATGGACATTTGAAGAAAAATAAACTCTAACCATCCCCCATCGATTAAAAACTTAAACTGCGACTCATTTTCCCAGCCACTAACGCCGCTCCCTGAGGACGGCGGTCTCGTCACTGCATCTTTACAGCGTGTTGGTAGCACGGAGAGCCAGACGAGATGTAATCTGCAATAAAAATATCGTTTAACAACGAGAACAACTGTTCCGCTGATGATTCATAAAACGAGCATTTGTTCCCACCTGTTGCATAACTTCTGTTTGCTGCAGCAGGAGCTGCTGGGGCCATTTTTAGCTCACCGAGGTGAGAAAGAGCCGGTAAGATTAGCATCCATGCTAAATCTTACAGGATTTAACACCAGTAGACAGGTGCTTCAGGTTCTTAAATAAAAACTATAAATAAATTTATCTTAGAAAAACAATAAATACATTTTTAAATAGAAATACACACACAAAAAAATATTATTTTTCCAAGATAAATGTCATATATTTACATTGAATGTCTTACATTTCTGAGGAAAACTTTAAGAATTTTCCATGATTAAAAAGCATTAATTACTGAAAAAAAACTATTTTCTATGATTCAAGAACTTAAAAGGAAAACTAACTTCTGGAGATAATCTTACAAATAATCTGCAGTTAATTGAGAAAAAAAAGCAAAAAAAAAAAAAAAAACATAAAAAGAGGGCAAAACCTCTGAGATTATAATCATAATCCAATCAAAAACCTTAATCCCACCAATGGCTCCTATTTTATTCTTTTCTAATTAATTAACTAGTACTTTTAAAAATGTTTAACTGCAAGCTCATTGAAATATTTATTATGATTATTATATACCCTAACTCTATGATGTTATTATGATTAATGTCGTTCAACATGAGCTGTTTTTGTTTCTAGTAAAACTTAAAGATTAAATCCTGACTTAATTTTACTCAGAATACTATAAATGTACAAACTTTACAATATCAGACATTAAATGTATGCCCTAATTATGGAAAATAAACTCTTCTTTAACCTCAAGAATAAAATTATTTTTGGTTTTTGAGAGTTTTCTCACTGAATTTAGTCTGGAGGCCATTTCCAGAGGTCTCTAGTGGGAGTGGATGCCTTGAAAGTCATAAAAAACAGAAACATCAAAGCAGCTTCAGACGACAGGATCTGGAGTCTCACTTCCTGATATTTGGACATCTCTCCTCTGATTGGCTAACAACAACGTGACTGTACCAATGACTGTTTGCTCTGGAATGCTGATGTTTTATCTCCACACATAACACAAACCTGGAGGAGTTCTGCTGTGTGGTGGAGTTGCTGATGCTAATGGTTAGCTTCTACTAGCTAAGATGCTGTTTCCTGGATGCTAAACCAACAACAGCGTTCTCCGTCGTGATCCAAGATGGGTGAGCCCATGAATGTTAAGTGACAGTGTGACGTAGATCTGTCTGGATTTTCTATCCTAGAGTTTCACCGTCTGTTTTCCATCAGCAGCTAATGCAGGAGACAGGTGTAGGAGACTATTTTCATGTTCAGCCTGCATGAAACACTCAAAAGTGGCCCGTTAGAATCAGAAATAAGTAAGAAATGGTTTCTCGTTGAACTTGCTCTTTGAATGAACAGGAAACTCACCCTGGCCAAACATGGTTAGGTCGTTTTTATTCATTTATAACTGTAAACCCTCTCATGTGTCCCATTAAAATCAGAAATAATCATTAAAAAAATGTTTTATCAGTGTTCCACACCTTTAAATGACAACTGTACCTGGTTGAATTTCTGTTAAACTGCACAGAAAACATTTTATCCATCAAACTGGATGCATGTGGGTTTGAGTAAAGGCAACAGACAGTAAATGTTAGCAGACAGGTTTTAGGGAGGACGGACAGCAGGAGTCCAGCTGAGGCTGTAGCCTACAGGAAGGGTTAGCGAGGAGTTAGAAGCAGGAAAAAAGGGAGGAAAGCCAGACAGGAACGTCTCCAGGGAGCCCTCTTACTGTTCGAATCTGATGTTTCTCAGGTCTCCGTTATTGATATGGATGATGCAGTCGTTCTCCTGGAACAGGCCCTGCTGCTCGGCTTTTCCTCCCCTCTCCAGACGCTTGACCAACAAGCCAAGAGTCCTGAAACGTTCACAAGTTCACGTCAAGGAGGAGAAACACAAGAAAACTCCCAACGAGTCGCTACAGCTGCCTGGAGGTGGAGGTGAGCGAGGCTAAAACGGAGAGAAGAGGGAGGTGCATACATGTGGACAGAGAGGATTCACTCAGAACCTCGACCCGGTTCTGCTAAACTTCAATTTCCATGTTTGATTCCTCTCCTAACGAGGAGGTTTCAGGAGCTACGAAAACCCATCACGCCATTAAACACGGATCTGAGCGGAGCCGAGTGAATCCACGCTGAGCTGCCACAGCCGTGGCTGTGTAATCTGGTGGCCAGCGTGAAACTCTAAAGAGCAAATGTCAACCAGCAAGGTTCTTTCACTGGAACGGTCTCCCATCTTCTGCCTTGAAAACCTCCCTCTCAGTGCAGATGTGAGCCAGATGTTCTGTTCCTTTTGGTCCATGTGTTTGGAACAAGGTGTGTGTTGTGTGCACTGCTCGGTGTAATCTTTGAAGGTTGAGAAACAGACGTGACAGCAGCCACAGAAAAATATGACGGTCACCTGAGAGGCCCAAACAAGCATGATTGATCACTGTAAACTGGCAAATTGTTTCATGATGCTGAAGCTGAACGTGTGTGTGTGTGTGTGTTTAGGTAAAAGTCTGTTACAGTTGGACTTTGGCTGTGTTTTTACTCCGTTTCAGTCCTTGTACCTGAATATTTTCAGAGAAATGTCCTCCTCTGTGTTCATTAAACCCCTTAACTCTGACTCAAGGCTCATTCAAGGCTTTAAAAATCCCTAAAACTCAAGAAAGGAACCAAAGTTGGCTTCAAACATCACATTTGAGCAAAAATCTGTCGTACTTTAAATCAGGCTCTTTGTTGCCAACAGTTTGTCCCAAAGACCCCAGATTTCTGCACTAACCAGAGTTTTAAGATACTGACTGGATTCCCAGGTCCGTTTCCTTCATGTTTTAAGCACAAGCTTCATAATTCGCTCACATGATCAAACACGGGGACAGGGCAGGAGTGAAAAAGCAGCTGAAGTCCAAAATAAACCCTAAAAGTCCTTCAGAAAGTCTGGCGAGCCGCTCGTGAAAGCACAGCAAGTCTGGAAGTTTGAAAAGAAAAATATTTAAAGAAATTGGAAATGGTTTAAAACTTTTGCACAGTAGGGTGGTTTTCTGTGAGCAGGCTAGAGAAAAAGGTGCCGAGCCATCCACTAAAGGAGGTAAGTGGGTAATTTTCTTTTCCTTCCCAACTACCAGCTGTCATTTCTGCACCACTGAGGAAAAATAAGGGAAGAAAAAAAGACTAAATGTGGTTAAATTAGACAAGAAATCATTAAAAACCGAATCAAAGTGGTTTCTGAAAGCAGACATGCAGCTGAAACTTATTTTTCTTAGAAAAGTTAAATAATTTAAAGCATTTTTTAATATTTTAAACCTTTTCTTTTAGCCCGGATCGGTTTGGTTCAGGTGGTTTTACCTGCGGTCCCTGCCACTGAAAGGCACCACGTGGATTCCCAGGGGCCCGCCGTCGTTTGACACCTCCACCAGTTTGACAATGTCTCTGGGAGACGGAGACGGGTGGATGGGACGGAGAAGAAAGGGTGGAGACGGGTGATGGAGGCGTGACACCATGTGAACAAAAAATAAGTAAATAAGGTTGTGACAGAACAAAATAAACAAAAGGTGATGGAAATAAATTAAACACAAACAATAAAGAATCTGAGGAAGACCGAAGGTGTAGAAACCAACCACTCCTTAATACTACAGCTAAGATTCAAATTCAGATAAATAAAGTTTATAGGTACAAATCAGGAATTCTGTATTTTACTGGACTGGAATTAAAGTGAAGCTTTTTCCTTAGATTGAACGTTTAATAATGATGGGAACAAACGCTGAGTTTCCTTTGCTGTCAGGAACAACAGCTGATCTACGTCCATTTCTTTATTTTTTTATTAAACTGTACTCGTGCATCTCCTCAAACGGCTAATTCCCCCTTTCAGGTGCAGATATTTGCAGCTGAAAAGCAAAACCAAAACAGCAGGAATCACAAACTGACGGCAAACACACAAAGCTGCAAAACACACGTAGAAAATGCGCCAAATCTAAATTCCTGCTCCATCATAACCCAGACGGATACACTCCCAATGAAATCCTGAGCTGTGGAGGATATCACTGCGTATACGTGACGACAAATAAAGTCTCTGGCATCCTTTGACCCTTTCAAAGTGAAAAACGGCTACAGTCTCTTTTTTCTCCTCCTCAGCTGTGAAACATGCACACAGCAGCAGATTTTACAAGACGCCACATCTAATCCACTCACAGCTTAGAAGCAACGACTGTGATTAGCTCGGGGAGAAAAAAGGGCCCCTTGTTGACAGCCAAGAGGCGGGCAGAAGCCCGAGTCTGTGCGAAACCGCAGGAATAATAATAATACCGTACCTGCATATTAAGCTGGAGGCATGCAACAGAACAGAATAACAAAAACAAAACACGGCTGTTAATAACGGGCGCCAACAGGTGAGTGTGTGGGAGGGCTCTGACGGAGAGACGAGGATCATTTTGCTCCCACAAAAGGTAATTATGTAAATCAGAGAGCGGGGGTTTCAAAAAGAGCTTTTTAACAAACAAAACCTGGACAGCAACACAGGAGCTGCAGGATGGAGCTTTTAACACATTATTACATCTCCCCATCCCAGCCTGGGCGGGACGGCGACCCGTGAAGGCCGCTGAATTGTTCCAGGAGTCACTGTGCTCTCTAAACCCAACGACCTCCCTCCCCTGTCCAAACGGAGGTGATGAGTGCTGCTTATCGTGGCTGCATGCACTGATGTGTGGAGAGTCCTCTACCCTACCTCCCCACCTAGTGGACATTTATGTTATGTAATGGCTGAAGTCTGTTGCATTTCTGTCTGAGGTGTTTTTTTGCATAGCAAAGCTGCCGTCCCTGTGGAGGGTAACTCTGAGGTGACTTTTTTTTCCTCCACCTTACTCTATCCTCATATATAAACCCCTCTGATCTCTATTAGGGTAGCGCAACACGGGTTGCGAATGACCAGTCACCAATTCTTGTCATGTGTCTATGTATGTATGTCTGATCTCTCAGAATTGTGTGTATTGAAACGCTTATTTCCCTCTGGGATTAATAAAGTATCTTTGAATTTGAATTGAACTGAATTGAATTAACCGAGATGTGAACTACAAACCACTCCGGCTTTATGGTTATTACACCTTCCAGATGTGGAAACTTAGGTTTTACACAAGTTTTTGTGTTTCAAGGCTAAACAAACTGAAACTGGTGCAAAAACACTGACATGCCTGTTTCCTCTATCAGAACTCCTACTGGACTTTCACAAGGATGTGTGCATCTCCACTTCACTGAGCCCACCCAAAAGGAGCTTTTTGGGTCATTTCAGGAACCAGACCTGAGCTGAGGTGAGTTCTCGGCAACGGCTTCTGATTGGTCACCACACAGTGGGAAATGACATCATCGGACGCCAGCTGCATCTCTTCAGGTGTTTTAAGTTTTGTTTGAAAACCCTTTTTTGCTTGTTAGCTTTCCCTAACACCTTCGACCCTGGCTTTTGTATTTTACCTTTTGTTTTGCATTGTTCTTATTATGTTTACTTGTTTATTTATTGCTCTTATGCTATTTTATCCTCTTAACTGTTATGATGTCTATCCATGTTTTTATATTTTGTTCAGCACCTCGAGCTTCCATTAAGGTGGTCGAAGGGCCTAAACAAATACATTTCAATGACGTCGTCAAACACCAGTCATTTGAAAAATTAAAAAAGTTGCTGGTGAAGTGGCAGAACTTCCTCCACAGCGCCATAATTTACGCTGCTTTGTGGTATCCTACAGGGCACTGTGGAAAAAAAAAGCTGTTTCTTCTGGTCAATGAACACCGCTTCTTACCCTTCAGAAATTACCCTGAACTAAGAAGCAGCTTTTAATATAAACTAAAACTTTAAAAGGAGCCGGATGATCCGATTCGTCCTTCAGGATTATCCTTTAGATGTTAGCGAGGAGTGATCGTTCTTAAACTCGACTTACTCCAGAGACCTGGCGGAAGCGTGCTCCATGCAGGAGTCGGCTTGGCCAAGGGGTTCGATCCTCCCGTTTTCTTCCTCTCTGGTTTCCTCCTCCTGGAATAAAACACAGGCAGAAGCATGATGACACTTGTTGCAGATCCAGCTGACGCTGCTATTTTTAGGCGTGTGGATGCGATTCAGCTAGGATGCTCCCATTCCTCGATGAGCAAAATTCCAGGAATAAATTGATGCAAATGAAAAACAAACTTTTCCTGCTGATCCAATTTGTCAGACTGCACAGTGAGACGCATCACACTGTTGCCATGACGACAACTGTGTCCAATCAATGTAAGAGTTTTGATGCACTGCGTTCTTCGTCAATCAGCAGTCTAGAACTATGATGACCTTTGACCTCCTGCTTGTTTCATGGCCCAGTCTACATAACTGTTCACAAAAATATCCTCCTCCACATTACTCAAAGAAAAGCTCAGTCATACCCACATCGAGCCACTAGGTGGAGCTAAACATTAGTTGTTAAACTAACTTTATCACCAGGTGGAGGAACAACCCTTCAAAAGGTCCTGTGTGGTGTTAACGAGACAATTTAGAAGTTAGCTTACTCTGTTATTGATATGAATAAATACCGTATTTTCTGGACTATAAGTCACACTTTTTTTCATAGTCTGGCTGGTCCTGCGACTTATATACCAAAGTGACTTACCGTAATTTCCGGACTATAGAGAGAACCTCTATATAAGCCACACCTACTAGCATAGCATGAAACTGTACTTATATAAGCCGCAGCGGGCTAAAAGCCGCAGATATCTACTGAATTGAAAACATAGTTTAACTGAACGTAACTGAACTGATCAGTATCAAACAATACAGAAAAGTTATTGATTAGTTTATTCATCGTCCTCCTGCGCACTGAAACCACTGAAGTCCTTTTCTTCAGTGTCGGAGTTGAACAGCCTCAGAAGAGCTTCGTCACATACGTTTTCTGTGGCGATGTCAGTGTCGCTGTTCGTGTTGCTGTCATCATCCCGGGGAGAAGCTGGCTTCAATGAGTTCTTCCCGCTGCCGTCTCCAGCGCCGAACCATGGATTCATTCATGCCAAGCTTACGTGCGGCAGCACTGTTTCCCTCCTTGACTGCCAGATCGATGGCCTTCAACTTAAATGCGGCATCATATGAACTCATACGTGTAGTTACCATGATGAGGGGGTATGGACTTGAAAAGAATTCTTCGTTGTGCCGGCTGCTTGCATGTGCTAAATTAAAATGAGCACGTTCTTCGATTTCCGCTTTTGACTTCCACCTGTTTCACGTTCTGCTAAAGCGCCCCTGGCAGGTGAAGGAAAATCTTCAGTAAAGCCGCACCTCATTATAAGCCGCATGGTTCAAAGCGTGGGAAAAAAGTAGCAGCTTATAGTCCAGAAAGTACGGTATATACCAAATTATGTATACCGCGCTGCTGCGGGCCAGCTCCGGACCAGGAATGAGCTCCCCTGCCCCACCATCACCTGCTGGAGATCATGGCGCTGCTGCTGCGAGCTGGCTCTGGTCCAGGTTTCAGCTCCCCTGCCATGCCATCACCTGCTGGAGACTGTGGCGAGCTGCTGCGGGCCGGCTCCGACCCAGGAATGAGCTCCCCTGTCCCGCTGGGAGGGTTTGAAACACCGCCATCCTCTACTGGAGACCGTGGCGCGTTGCTGCGCATACCGCTGATGCAACAGCTGGTTGTTTGTTCTGTTATTGTTACCGGTACTTGTCTTGCAATGTGAAATGCTTGATCTCAGATTTTGCAAGAAAAATAATAAAATTTCACCCCAAAATGCGACTTTTATGGTTTTTTCTCCTTCATTATACATTTTATGGCTGGTGCGACTTATACTCTGGAATGCCTTATACTCCAGAAAATACGGTAGTTATTGACTTTATTTAGGCCAAACTCACAATCTAACTTTGCTATGGTTAGCTTCTGCTAATCGAGACGCTCTCTGCTGTTTCCTAGACGCTAAAACAACTACAGCCTTCCTCGCCTTGGGCCGAGATGGGCGAGTCGGTTGTATCCATGCAGCCTATTATCTATCAGAAGCTAATGCAGGAGGCTATTTTCACGTTCAGCCTGCATGAAAAACCAACCATTTTCTAAAATAATGAGTAACAAATGGTTTTTCAGTGAACTTGCTCTGTAAATTGTTTTCATACTGGAAGGAACAACTTTGGATTTAGCCAGACTACCTGTTGGCGTATCAGTTTGGAAACGACCTCAAAGAGCTACAGGAAATCCCCCTCCAACATAACCCCAGTTCAAATAACGTTTTAATCTCGATGCTAAAAAAGTCGAGTTTCAAACCTGACGAAGCCAAGAGAAGCAGACCGGAGGAGGTTTCCCAAAAGTGTAAAAATACATGCCCTTCAACACGCCTTTGTTCTCCTCATACAGTAACGTCTCAACAGTGAGGTCGAGACTCGTGGCGTGAACACACACACACACAAACACACACACACACAAACAAACAGGGCACCGAGTAGAAAAATGAGAAGTGGAGAAAGAAGGTCATTAAAATTTCAGGGTGACATCGGAGACGAGAGAACAGCAGCGGCGGCTCAGACCTCCCTGGCAACCGGCCTCATCAGTATGAAAATGAGCCTGCCGTTACCGTGGCTGCCGTACGGTTGCCATGACACTTTAGTTGGCTGGAGGACATGCCGCTGCAGGGCAGGTGATGAGTATGAGCTTGTGCGTCCAACAGCAAGGAAGGACTTCTGACTGATAAATCTTGATGCCAATATGAATAGCTGGTGATTATTAAAGCTGAAACCTCAAATCCCACTACTTGCAAATAATTCTAGCTGGAGACACACAGAAAGGCTCAAACACACTTTTCCAACCACGCCACCCAATCAAAACGACGCCCATTCCCGTCTCAGACGGTGGGCATGGCGAGAAGAGACGGATTGGAGCATTAATAATTCAGCGCTAATGGCCGACAGGCAGGCAGACAGGCAGGTAGGTGTGGGTACAAGCGGACGATGTGTTTTCCAGCCAAGTCATTGTTTGTTTCCTGGATGCTGGGAGGCAAAAGCAGGCGGGCAGTTTTCAGGGCCTGCGGCTCATTAAAGATTAATGGGAGAATCCACCAGGGCCTGTCCTTTCTATCTCTCAGACTAAATGAAGTGGTCTGCGTCTTCTGTGTGTGTACGGTGGAGTGTGAGCAAGGTCATGCTGCACTTTAATGAAGTGCTGTCTCCTCCCCGTTCTTGCGACTCTGACCGCACAGTCACTCAGACCGACGGCGACGAGGAGCCTAGCTCCTGAAGACTCAGGGCTCTGGGAATCAACGTTCTCCGTTCTGAATGAGAAGACTTCCTGCCTGACACTGGAGCTTGGAGTTCAACACTTCTGAACAAACACATGACTAAAATTGGATTATGATGGTCCGAGCTTGAGGAGTTTTTGGAATTACTTTGGAACCAGGTGTTTCTCGAGAAGGCAAACTCAAGGAGATTTATCTAAAGGTCTTTCAGGAAACATGTTTATTCTGAACATTTACTCAAAAAGTTTCTCACAGAAACACTGAAATCCAACCTGAGCCACCAGTTTCATTATGCTTTGGTCTTTGTGCACAGATAGGGCTGGGTGTCATCTGCAAAAGAATTGGAGTTTTCTTTTAAAGAAGAAAACCAACTTTTGTTCACAAACTTCTAGTTCCTAGAAAGGCTGATTCATACAACAACAAAAACACCTCTCTACCTAAAGAGGCGGGGGATGGGGTGATAGTGAGCTGAGGAGAGATCTGCTGCAGCCTTCCAGCAATTCCCAATAAATGTCTGATTTGGGAAAGTAACTGTGTGTGATTCACCAAAGAATAAAAAAATATGTCAACCATAAAAATGTTAGCATTAGCCTCTCATTCAGCTAACTCCTCCACATCAGCAAAAGAGAGCTAAAGACTTAGTTGTGATGTGTGTGCGTTAAAGGGGCTGTATCATGCCATTTTACACCTTCCAGAGCATCAATAGGCACACCATATGATGACATATTGCCTCTGTCACCATTGAGATGTCATTTTTTATAAGATCCAAGTTATTTTTTGGCACCACTTCTAAAACCCAGAAATAAGACACTTTGATTCAATCAAACCCCGCCTCCCCGAGTGAATTCCACAACAGTATATGTGTAACGGAATGAAATTACTATTCTCCACCAAAAGTCATTTCCCCCCTCTCCTCTGACACAGAACTAGTCTGCATGAGATATTGCCTCAAGGTCTTATGCATTTGTCATTAACTGCTTTCTTTCCAGCTCAAGAGAAGAATGAAGAAAGGACTCTCTCTGTTTAATAAATCAAAGAACTCTATTTTTAATAAAGCTAATCAAACAAAGTGTTAGTCAATAATAAGATGTGACCAATCTGTGAAATCAAAGTATTAATTACTTTATTATAATCTTATATTCTAGAATATAATAAGTAATATGACTTTAAGTGTTTCCACTAGGACTGATCTCACGTAGCGTAACGACACATTACTTTCACGGATCCAATCAGAATCTGCCAGATCTGACAGAGGCGTGGTTTTGATGGTGCTTGGTAAATCTGTCATCTTTTCATTCGACCATAAACCAAAACATCTGAAGTATAAAACTATGCCCACGTCATCTTTAACGCCAGTTCAAAGCGTTCCAGAGAAGTTGTCGGAGTGGCCAATCCGTAACTTTCCTCTTCAGCCAAAGGAACCAACGACAAGCTGGATAAAATCTGTTGCTGTTCCAACTGCTGCAACGGTTCCTTTCAGAATAATAGCTGAACCATCACGACCCAGTTTTGGGTCTCGCTAGATGCCAACAAAGCTGTCGTGACCCGGGAGTATCTCAAGACTGGTGGTCGGCTGCCGCGGCTGTTCTACGAGCCTCGGCTCCATAAAGGTCAAGCTGCACCTCTACACCTCCTGATCTAGACGGGGACTTCCGCTAAGGGTACGTAGACCGACAAGAATGGCGTCGAATGTGTTTATGAATCTCCAAACCAAAGCTTAGCACGAAGACATCACCTTCACTTCCCATCAGAACTAATCGTTTCTTTGGATTTGCTGGTTCTGAGCAACAT